GTGTGCTCACATTTTAGTTTAGCATAACAAACTAAGTGTACCTGTTGACCAAGACAAAGGATTGTACCTATATGCACCTGATAGCACCTGCAATTTGCACCCAAACTACCTTAAACCTGTCTTGAGTTGACTCTCAAGACTTTGCAGATTAAAAGTCGTGTTGTTCTGAGTAATGACAAATGGCATCTGAATATGAAGAACAGCCCTTCCAAAGCCAGCTGGACCTAGCAAAGGATGAAGCTTTGCGCGCTTTCATCGGAATGACCCCACGGGCGAAAGGAAGCACTTTCGACAATCATGGAGTACCCTTTTTCGTGATGGACATGCGGGAGTTGCCCCTGAACTACTACTGTCATTTTGGGTCTGATATCACTACCCCTACCAAGTTGATCCGCAACTTCAGCAAAGAGGCCGCGGAGGAGTGGAAGGAAGAAGGGATACCCAAGCAGATCACTTGGGTACAGCTCGAACAGCTGGATGCCCTAACCCAAGCCCTCAACACTTGGAAGTACCGACCCACCACTGGAAGACCTCGCAAGGTGGATATCGAATTGGGAGAATGGAAGGAGAACTTTGGAACCGACCAAATCGAGGAACACTAAGAGGACAAGTGGATTGAGGAGATTGACTTGGCCAGAGAAGCCAAGAAAGCAGCCCTAGCTGAGTATGAGCTCTTGAAGTTGCAGGGTAGCAAGGCCAGAGCCGAGAAAGAGCTAGAGGAAAATCTGAAGGAGGGCTACAACACACCCCCATCCAAAAGATCCACCAAGAAGACTGAATCTGGTGGTACTGAGACTGAATCCAACCCTGGAACTGAGGACTCTAAGGGGACTAAGCCCAAGGTGGTCAAGATCAAGCATGACAAAAGGGGGATGAGAGGTGCTTTGGAGGTTGATGAAGCACGAACAACCTGGTGGCTAACTCGAGTGAAGAAGATCTCAAGCTCTCGAGTGAATGATGACCCTGAAAGACTCTACCTTGAAGAGATTGAGCCCAAAGCCCAATTCTCTCTCTTTAAGGGCTCCTAAAGCCAAATACAGTGGCACATTTCGAATGGCCGCGAAATGGGACTTCCTACAGGTCGAAAACAGGACTTCCAGCCACTCTTTGCATATAAGCCTTCATCCAAGACTTCACCCGACCACCAAACATTGATATATAGGTACATTCATAGTCCAGGACTTCATAATGTCATCAAACATATAGTAATCATGCTTGTCCCAAGACCTCATAGTATCTTCCATCATCTAGAAGTCTTGCCCAAAGATACTTATGAGTCATGCCCAAAGATACTTATGAGTCATGCCTAAAGATTTAGAGCACAGGCCAACCATACAATATCCCAGAGTGAAACACTTCCAGGCAGCACACTTGTTCCAGGGACAGACAAGCTGAGAAACCAGCACTACTGTGTAAACACACCAAAGACAGACATAGTGGGAAGCCAGCAGTAATGTTTTCACATCATGTGGCTCCAATCCAACTCCTGTCATATGTTCCACGGAATTCTTCAACGGTTAACACGACCTTCAATCAAATTTCAAATATCCAAACGTGCGAGCAATTTACGTATTTTAATAGAGGTCTGTAAGCAAAGCTCAATATTACACAGACCTCTGCCCCCTGCCCCAAAGTACTGTTTTACTATAGAACCCAATGGGGCAGGGGGCTCCTGGCTGACCAAAAGTCCTCTGACCCACGCCAACACCTCTGCCCCATTGCCATGCATGTCTCCAGGACTTTTAGGGAAGCTTCCCGATCTTCATAGCCATGCCCTCTCCCCTGTCCTGTGCGTCTGTTCATGGCTGTGCCTCTCCACTGTGTGTCTATTCATTGCTGTGCCCCTCCGCTGCGCGTCTTTGTCCATCCGCTGTGTGTCTATTTCGTCGCTGTGCCTCCCTCTCTACCTCTAGCCTATTGTTGTGCTGTACCTTTCCCGCTGTGCGCCGTACTCCCGATCCGCTGTGCGTTCGGCCAAATGACAAGCGTCTTTATCTGTTTCATCGCTGTGCCTCCCTCTCTACCTCTAGCCTATTGTTGTGCTGTGCCTTTCCCGCTGTGCGCCGTACTCATCATGACAAGCAATCAATACCAGCATTATGTTATGCTATACATATTCAATCAATCCCTGTGTCTCTTGCAGTTGTATTCGAAAGCCGCATCCTCCCTCCTCTTTTTCTCTCTTCCTCTTCAACATTCCGGCGGCTCTCTTGTGATTCTTCAGTAGAACGTCACCCCTGTTCCTGTTGATTTTTCGAAGCGTTTCAACCATGGCCCTCTCCTCCATAGTAAGAGGCTCCGGTGTCTCTGGTGTCTCCTCCTCCATCTGTGCCTCTCCCTCCTCCTCTGTTTCGGGTTTCAACTGTCGGTAAATCCAAGTCGCAATTTTCAACTCAAGGTATTTCCTCCTTAGTTGACTCAAACGCCTAGCGTTGTTAATGACATTCTTTTCGTGTTCAGCCTTCATCTCCTCGATTTGCTTTTCCACCGTCCTTCCTCTGAACCATTCTCCGTGATCCGTTTTCTTCTTGCCGTGCCATTCGACAAACCACCCTTCCTCGTCATAGTCTTCTTCAAAAATTGTGATTTCATCGCCAGGGTGCTGTTCGTTCCACCTCTCTTCCAACACTCGATGAGGCACCCACTCCCATGTGTCAATGCTGACGTCCATATACGCCTCCCTGTCTTTCCCGTATAACGAATCGGGCTTATGCATGTCGTTCCTGCAAATGATGATTTTGACATTGTTCCTAAACCGCACCGGTTCTGTGGTGTACTTGGGTGCAAATGCCTCCCCGTTCTTAATGAGTTCCAACAACGAAAAGACCCCCTTGAGAAATGCAGGCTCTCCTTTTGCTTTAGGGATTTCAAGCACCAGGAGCTCCAAAGAATGCCTGTAATCTTTGATGGTGTCAATGAGATCCTTAGCTGGCGCAACCGTTAGGATGAGAGCAGATCCCTCCCTTTTCTGGTTGTATTCCCATTTCAAATGTTGCATGAACTTCGATTTGCCTTGACGTGTTTGCATGCTGTGAATGGTGATGATCTCACGACCGTTGTCAGGTTGCATTAGCTTGCTTCTCAATTCCCGTTGCCACAGGTGCTCCTTGTCGAACTTTTCAGGTTCGCGCACAGGTGTAACATCATTAATCAATTGCCTGGCATACCTCTCCCCGCCTGGAGCCATCATCTGGTTCGGGAATCGATATCTCAATAGCTTCAAGTCGCAAATCCCCTCCTCGTAAATGGCATTTCGGAGATCGTGCCGATCTTGGCGCTCCTCTCCCTTGCGATTAGAATCAGTGAAAATCTCCCCTGTGATTCTGAAATCACCATCCTTCTTGCAGTATTTGAAGTATCCTAGTTTGTCTCTAACCGGTCCGATCCAAACACCACCCGGCCATTGAACATCCGCGATTCTCTGTAATCCTTTTCCTCTTTGTCCAATGGGTTTGGACATACACGTGCATGTGTGGTCTACCAGTGTCAGGACAGTACTCTTTACCATGCAGCACACCGATCCATTTCCAACGCTTGTGCATTCTCTTTAACTCTTCGCGATGGACTTCGTCGGTGTCCCAAAGCGTCAAAGCCACATGCTGGAGTTTCGGCCGGGCTTTCTTTTCTTTGTCAGTCTCTTCCGATGCGAGTACGACGCCATTGTCCGTAATTTGACCTTCTTCATTGCCCACAATCCCCTCTAGATCAGGATCAAAGGATCCACCTCCACTCCGGATCCGGACCGATTCACACTCACTCAGGACCCCACCCGCCAGGGACTCAACGTCATCGTCACCTGCAACGTCATCAACGTCGCTCACATTATTTTCGTTTTCGTTTACGTGACTCATAATCTCTAAATTATGAGACATGATTACTACAACTAAGTTGTAAACCGTCAAGAGTCCGTCAAGTATTAAAAACGCCAGCCGATTCAATTAAAAAATAGCAATAGCAATCAGCCACATCATCACCCTCACTCTCGACTTCTCTCAAAGGTTAGGAAAACACCGTTGTCGACACACTTGCAACCTCTCCTTCAAGCAATAGCCTAGAGCGCCTCAAGGAGTTCGACTTCTTCCACAGCTGCGTCTTCAAATACAGCCCTCGCCCCAACACTCCCAGCGAGCACCGCGACATTCCTTCAGACGTCAAGTTCCTGGCGGTGAGCCAAAAGCACAACGACGCTCTCATCGAGGTCCTCGTGTACGGCGAGAGCAAGAAGAACGCCGAGCGCATGAGCGGTCGCACCCGCTTGAATCGGGCTTACTTCGAATCAACACTCCCATCAAACTCACTCTCGTCTCATTTTTTTGGAATCTCCTCTTCCAACTAAGACAAGATGATTGTGAATAAACATTTCAACGAAAAAGATGCCATTGCAATGCTCCACCACATCGACGGCTCGATGTCCCAAGTCCAACCGATCAGATATAGGGGAAGCCATGAGAAGATGCGGAACCTCCCTCCTGTTCTGCGCAAACACTTAATCGAGACGCTGTGTCCACCGGAAGGTTATGACCAGGCCATGCTGGCAGGCAAATTCATTCCATACTCCTTCCTCTCTGAGAAGATTCTAGCTAGACGACGCTGTTACGATTACAAATACTTCATGAAACGAAAGAATTTGATGATGAAAAACGTCTAATGATTGATCAATTCGGTCCTTTTTTCCACAAGCCTCCTGTCGATAGATTCAAGCAGGTCTCGCCTTCGACCATTATCGAGATGCGAAATCTATCGATGCGAGCATCATTATTGACACAATTTCACCGACCACTCTGCCAACGTTTCGCAATAGAGACCATGAAGACAGATAATTGATTGCCCTTTTCAAGTTTTTTTTCCGTGGAGTCGACCTTGGTTGTTGTTGCTGTGATGTCCTTATCGATAGATTCAAGGAGGATCCTTTTCACAAACTTCGGATCAGTAGCAAACGGTTTCATCTTGCTTGCAGAATTGCCACCCACCTTCGGTAACCGTCCAATGACTGTCAAGTCCCTGTCAATGTGGACCAGCCGACAGAGGCTCACCATGTCACCAAAATAAGACGGCTTGCAGCTGCTGTACTTTCCCAATAACCGCTTTGCATAAGCCAATGTGCATGGTGAGTTAAGGTTCACGTACCCCCTCAACATCAAAGAAGTTTGGTTTTCATCCTTTGCAATGCAAGAGAACTTCGCCTTATTTTCAAACAACCTTTTAAGATACGCCAATGCGCCATCCCGTGTCTTTTCTGCCCATTCCCTTTCTTTGTTGCCTCTGCAATTGAAGTAGAGATTGAAAACGTATTGTTTGGTTGTGCCCATCTCACAATTTTTTTACAGCAAAGTAAAGTTTCATTTTTTATGTCAACTTCAACCCGCAAACTAATTCTTTGACCATGATGCAAGCCCTAAAGTTCTATTTTCCGTCATGTGGCAATGACCAAGATGCCGTCATGGAACACACTTGGAAGCAAGGCATTATGTCCTATCTGATATTTGTCCGAAGAATGCCCCTACGTGGAAACCCATACATCAAACGAGCTTTCATTTTAAACAACACCACCCACTCTGACATTCCATCTGAGTTCGAGTGCATCCCACTTCCCGAGGAGGCCCTTCACCGCTTAGTGAATGAACTCCAAGAAGAACTCTCAATGGAAAACAACGGTGTGGAATTAGGCTCTCTTTAGCTCTTTAAAAAGATGAAAAACTAGGCGATGCGTAACCAAGACTCTCTGTGTCTTCTTGTGCAGGTCTCATTCAGCAAACCGGTGATTGCGGCTGCTTGCAGGAGGAGGGGGGCGCAATAAAGGGGTGCAGAGTCAGAGATGTGCATTCCAGAATGCGATGTTAATGACTAGCTACTAGCTAGCTAGCTAGTAGTGCACTGTGGCACTTTGCATTAGAATCTGATGTTGTTGTTCGACGGTGACGTCAGTCTCATGACTTTCCGATCACCTTGAATCCACTTCGCCCCCAAATCGGCGAGCACGCGTGCGTGTCGCCTGGGGTCCAGAGCAGCAGCACCAAGAGCAGCACAGCACAGCAGCAGGCTACAGGAGCGCCTGAAAACGGGACTCGCGAGCACCTCTTCCGCGAATCCGCGACTCGCGCGCGGCCGCGGCGCGAATCCGCGAGCGCGGCCGCGAATAACCGCGAATAACCGCGAAAATCCGCGAGATTTAGGATGCCACTTTTAAAAGATATAGAGGAGCTGGTTCTTAAATCTCGCGGATTCTCGCGGTTATTCGCGGTTATTCGCGGATCGGCGGATCGTTTCGTGGATCGCGGATTCGTGGAAAACCGTTAAATCCGCGGATCGTGCCACGATTCGCGGATTATCAGCCGCTCCAGCGAAAGCGAAAGAGCGAAAGGCATAAACTTGTTTGGATTGAGCAGCTGCACCATGGGACGAACATCATCACCACAGAGCGGAACCTCGCCTGAAGAGACGAGCAATAAGAGATCTCGATCAAGATCTGGCACACCGCCACTGGCTCCCTCACCAAGTGGTTATGCACGGCGGTCACCACCGGCAGTAGTCACGGCCTCTGCAGGTCCGAATAAGGAATCTCCGGCATGTCAATTAGAGGAGCATGGATTTGTTTCCCTTTTTCAGCATTGCGATGATGATTCTGAACAAAAATTTTTTGGGCGCCTCCAAGGCCGAAGCCATGCGGGGTCTACAACGGGATTGATCGAGAGCGAGGAAGTCAAGCGTGATTACTTAAAAGCTCTTGGGAAAGGAAGCCTCGAGAAAGATCTTCAAAAGTTTGTCATGGACAGGCTCGACAGTATTGAGAATGTATCTTCAAGGGTCCTTCTGAACTACCAAAAAGAGAACAAGGAAGCAGAAGGGCCGTTAAAGACTATTTTTGTCAACTATGCTGAGAAAATGCAAGAGGCAAAAGAGTTCCCGCTGACAGGACGCTGGAAGGAATATCCGACAGATCCCCGGGGATGCCTCGTTACCGTCGCATCCAGACAAGACGCAGCTTGTTTGAACTCCAAGTCCTGGCGGCTCTTTCAAGGAGAATTCAAAAACGAGAGCAAATATTCCGTCATGGACGGAATTCGTCAGTGCGCTGGCTATCTTTGGCACCAACTTTGGTGGTTTCGTACCGTGCAGGGTCTTGGTGTCGAACAAGTGTATGGATTTGTGATATGCGGTCCAAAATGCAAGGACGTGGAGAATAAAGTTGTCGTCTCTCTTCTGATACTCTCCCAGTGCGCTAAGATTGGTGATAAGTTCAACCTCTACGAATACCGTAAGAGTTACGATGTGGACGACACGACGGCCTTTAACTCGTTGAAATTGTTTGTCGAGAGTCAATTTGACAGAAAACTTGCAGCAGCGAAGCCCATTCCGTCGGACCGAATTTGCCCTGGCATCATGATGATTCCACAACACCTAATTGTTGGCCCTGACGGCGTATGGAACATTGTCAATTCCGGAACAGCTGCTTTGATTTTCCGTGTAAAGGTAGACGATCAAAACAAACAAGACGTGCAAACGTTTCTGGCAGAGTTTGCTTTGGAGCCGATCGAACGAAGGGAATTACTTTTATGTGTCAAGGAGATCATGTCGAACAAGAATAATGCAACTTTCTATCTCAAGATCAAGACTCTTGCCACTGGAAAAACGTGGAAGGAAAATGGTTTTCATCTGATCAAGGCAGTGAAGAAGGCCAAAGTGCTACAATGTCTATATGTGCAAGAATGGGGACGAATTTATACTTCGACACCCGTGTTTGATTCTGGCGGCGGCATTATTATTCTTATGCATGATGCCGGTTCCCTGCTTCATCTGTTGGGTGCCGAAGACAAACTTTCGTTTCAGTCTTTCTGTCGTGAGTTTCTTTCGTTGATGATAAGTACACTGACTATACAGAAGCTTTTGGTGTTGGTTCACGGAGACATCCACGAAGCGAACCTTCTTTTCAATGCTCAAGCAAAGGATTTGTTTAAGCTGCGTTTGATTGATTGGGATGAATCAGGGACCTTGCCAATGAAACGTATCGTCACAAATAAAATTCAAGAGGAACGGTACCCAGAAAAGCTTCTTGAATCCAAAGAAGCCTACACCAAAGCTCAGTTGATTCTTCTTTTTCGGGAAGTTAGCATGAATGAGTATTCCAAGGCTGTATTTGCGGCGGATGGAGAAATATGCTTTCATGATCAGTCGTCACCGAACCTTTCGCTGCTAAACACAGATGAAAACTGCGTCAACAAGCTTTACCGTTGGTTGGAAGCGGCGTTGTGGAAAGTGGTTACCAACCGCGAGCTTGAAGCAACGATTGAAAAACTTGCAGCTTTTGAGATTGAAGAGGTCGAGCTGTAACTAGAGATTTATATGTATTGCACCTTAGGCTACGAAGATCTGCAACACTGATTCCATTTACATTGTTCAGGAGGTTACTGGTAGGTGTGTATTAATAGTGTTAATTGTGATATTAGAAAGCTGGGAGAAGCAGGAAAACGCATTACAAGCATTACACACCTGAGTAGACTGGTTGGTTGTTGACTGTCAATGCTATGGCTAATAGTGAGGCTGCAACTAGTAGAGTAACTACAAACTATTTAATAATCAAAGTCAAACTCATTGTCGACTCTATCATGGTACTCCACCTGCCACATTGGCCGGTCCATGATCTGGAGCTGCACAATGTTGGCCACAGCATGGGCCATCTTACCATGTTTATCAAGGGAATGGCGCCACCTCTGAAGGAGGCAGCTCCATTCCTTGAGTCTCCTATTGACACATTCGTGTCTGGCCCTTGCAAGAGCCTTCCTGCTAGTCTGTTGTTGATTGTCAAGGTGTCGCCATGGGCAGTCAAAGAACTGAGGATACCCCCTGTACCCTTTGTCAGCCACAGCTCTCTCATCTCCCTCAAACATGTGGACCAAAGATGACAAAGAAATGGCAATATCAACCCATTCACCACAAGGGAAGGGACCATTGATCCACACAATCCATCCAGTTTGAATACAAACAGCAATTTCATACCTCAGTCCAGGACCATTAAACTTCTTGGTATACCAACCAGTAGAGAAAGGACCTGGTTCCCTGATGCGAAAGTCAGTTCCATCAACAGTTACCAGACACCGACTGCCATTGTCATTCATTCGTCGGTACTCCCATCTGATCTGGAGGAGTGGTACTTGCATGTAGTGTGTAATGGCTTGTGTAGTGGTGTAATGCGTTTTCCTGCTCCTCCCTGCTACTACCCGGAAAACCACCGGAATTCTGAAAACCACCGGAAAAAATGGTTAAACACGGGCACAACCTCACATTTTGAAGAAACTCAATTTTGGACATCACCTCATGCTGACAGATATACCAAAAGCAGTTTGACCAATAGAGTCAACCTAACAATACTTTTGAGATAGGGAATGTATAATTTGGACGTGCCCGTCGCAGTGGTGATAGTGGCTTGCTCATTTGGTGGCCATGGGAGCAACAAATGGCTGGCAAAGTAGGGCTTCCATTTCTGACCCTTTTACTCTAGTTTGACATAAGATAATGCCTTCTACATGGCTGTCAGCACTACAACCAGCACATGGCTGCGACAAGCAAAGAATGTAGACAACTTTATGTATTTAGCTTGGTTGTGTAGGTGCTATATTGGTTGAGTTCATCCTGTAGTCCTACTGTAGCGTTTTTCACATCACAAAAAGAACTTCATGGTAGTAAAGCTAGGCAGCTCTGCAGACCAGAAAAATTCCGGTGGTTTTTGGGGTAGTAGCCTGTTCCTACTAGCCAGAGGTTCCCTTGACACTTACGTGCCTGATGCACCACCAAGTTAAGTCCCGCCAGGTAGTTTTACTGGTATACACATCCAGTAGCTAGCTAGCTAGCTAGTATAACAGTTACACAGGAGAGCAAGCCGAACCTGCATATTAGACACCACCTCTCACCCCCTCTCATTTTTTCGAAAAAAGTCCCCTGAAGACTCCAAACTGGGTTACTACCACTATGTAGCCTTTCGTATGTTGCTCTGCTCTTGCAGATGCCTTGTGTATGCTTAGATGAGTGCACTGAGTGAGTTACAGTCAGTGGAACAGTTCTCTCCTGAAGATTTGCCTCTCCGAGTCGTTACCGTTGACACCAGATTTTTCAGTGTCAAAGCTCACAAGCGGTAGATGACACGATTGGATGAATCTCGCTCAATTTTCAGAGTTAGAAGCTTCCAAGGGTAGCCAGAGCACCGTCGTTGTATTGCACAACTTCTTTGCTATTGGTTTCCTTAGCTATCTCGTCTTCTTCGAGCAGTAGCTTAGATCGTGCCGATCGCCTTTCGCTCGCCGTGTTTGAAGAGGAAAATTCTCGCTTGTCGCGCGATGACGTAATTGACTTCAACTCGCTGGATAAGATGACTTCCGCGATGGTGACAATAGCGAATCGGTGTAGAATCTTCTCCTTTATCACCTGGTATACGTAGATGCTTCCAGTTCCGGCCGGAAACTGTTGAATGGTCGTCGTACCTTGTAGATGGGATTTTCAGTCTTGCTTCTGTCACGTTTCGTCTGTTAGAGGTGTTTCGATGCTCTTATAGTGTGGCTATAGTGTTGAATTGCGCACCTCTTCTCTGTTGCAGGTGTTAACTCACTTCAAGTCAATTGAACTTGATGTCTTTGACTTGGTTTACCTTGATATCAGTCTCGATCGGTAGTACTCGAGATGGCTTTTGCTTTACAGTGTTAGCTAGTAAAACTGCAGCTATTGAGGGGTAATTTGGGTTTTGGATTAAGCTGAAAGCAAAAGTGAGGTTTTTCTGGTGGTGCATAGCAATTCTGTTGATTGAATTGGATATAAAGGACCCCCGTAACACTTTAGACTAAAACTCCCTTGGTTCCTTGCATCATGAATATCATGCAACCGGACTAGATGTTTAATACACGAGTCATAGTAAAGAGGTGTCAGGTTATATTTCTCTCAACAGCATTGGCAAGGTTGACTCCAACGAAGACCTTCTCCATATTCGTAGCCACTTGATGGTCTTACAGCGGAGTGTTGGAACCAATGATATGGCTACCTTGAAGTGTATATTTGGCACTGTTTGTCTGCAGGAACGGGCGGAGTTTTAGGTGGTTGCAAGAGAATCGTCATCTCGTCGGGCTCTTCGTCGTGTCCACGCAGAGGAAGAATGGGTTTGCACGCAACTGTTTATCGAAGTGTGCTGAACGCATGTTCTTATGCAATCTTCTTGGTGAGGAAATGGGTTGAGGGTAGCTGAAGCTATTGTGTTTGTTAACAAAATTGCAATACGGCTACAAAAGCTAGTGTAAAGATCTTTCGAGTTATTTGAGTTGAGAGAATGAAAAGTTATAAGAGAGATTAGAAAGCTACGAAAAATAATCCATGAGAGAGATCGTTGTGAAGCTCATTGAAGTTTGTCTCCCGCGGGAGCCTCGAAGTGTGATATGTAGGTTATGGCAATAACTCTACGTACTTCACGGTCCATTTCCGGAAACGTTGGAAACTTCAGCTAGTAGCTGTCTCAGTAGCGTGAAGCTTTCCAGCCGGCTAAATATCTAGAGCGAGTTTCATCGGACAACCGTAATTAGTCTAGCGGAGAGAACCCTGTCTCAATTGACTATTCGACGAAGGACTACGTCGTATGAGTCGAACTCAAATCTATTCAGGATCGAGTCGGAATAAGGCTAAGAGCCGTTATTGCATCTCGTTCCGGGAAAACCAATCAGCGACCATGTTGAATGTCATCCTCTCGTTCCGTGAAGCCTCTCACAACAGATAAGATTGAAATTCACAATGATGTCTTGCCTCTTTGTCAGATGGGATCGATATTTGGAGACCATGGGTTTCCCTTTGTGTCCATGTTGGTTGCCGCAAGATATAAGCTGAGAGAGGAGCAATTCTCCTGGATTCAACTGACAAAGATCGCGGTCCATCAGTCGTCAGTCGGATGGCTCTTTCATCTTCGAAGGAAACCATCTCGATTATTTGAACTATCAATTAAAGCCACAAAAGGGGGCCCCCCAAAAAGCGGGGCGGGGAAGCCTGCCAAAATGACCTCTCAAGCTATCAAGAAGTTTCAATCGACCATGGGGATGCGCCGTTTGCTTGTCATGTGGGAGCTGACGTTGGAAGATTCAAGATCGTTGCCATCCAAGATTGCCGAAAACACAAGACGCTCCTCTCATAAATTCCGTTCAAGTGAAAAGCGAAGCTCTGCTTGAATCTTGGCTGGATTGATCGGCAATGGCCATCCGCCGTTCAGGATCATTTGGCGTTCTTCTTGTCCGTTGATGCTTCTCGTCTGATTCTTCCTCCGTCGTCGGCTTCGCGTTATCTTACAAGGATCCTTCCGATCCTTCATCTTCCTGACGGTTCTTTCCTCAAGCTTCCGTCGGATTCCTTCGCTCCACCAGTATCTCCCACCATGGCCAAGCGCAAGAAGGGCGGCAAGGGCTTCTACCAATCCAAGAGCAAGAAGCACCGGTCCAAGGATGAAAGGGCTGTGTGGTCCCGACAACAGCGCGCCGCCTTGCAGACTCCCCATGCAGTCACTCCTCATGTCAACACTGGTCCCTTCGACAATGAAGTTATTGATGATGTGCTTCCTCCTACCGCCGCCTCTCTTCGCTCTGCTGCTCGCAAGCCAACAACCACAGAGCAACCGGATGATGAACGACTGAATGAAATCTTGGGTCCCCCTTCGGATGATGAGCAGTGATTTCTCTTTCCAGGCGATGATGTTCATGCATTTCAGCAGTAGCAGACCTTCGTCTCACTCCGGAAGAGATGGAATCTTTCCTGAATCAGCAATCCTTTCTTCACCATGACCAATCAGAGCGCATTGCAACTTACAACCTCTATTGCCGGGTGCACAACTTCCCTTCGGATTGGACTGGAAAGGGCAGCACTGGATTGGCAATCAAGGACGCTCTTGGGATGAAGACGCGGAAGACAATCAAGAATATCTTCGGAGACATCAATTACTGTGCCAAGAACGACATTGAGTATGTTGGTCAGCGATTCTATTCACGGTTAAAGCCCGTCAAGATTCCTGATGGCTCCAAAGCTGCTGAGACTATCGCTACTTTGATTGAGTCACGAGGAGACAGTCTCAGAATTGCCACTGACACACTCCACGAATGTCGAATTGATGATGGTGTGGAGCCGTATTCTGATTCCGCTGTCCGTGAATTGGTCCAGCGTCTTCCAAGCCGGAAAGTTCCCATTAGCAAGATGAAGCAAGGGAACCACGACAAAAATTCTCCGTGGGCTCGACGCCGCTTTGCCTGGGTTTATCAGTTGCTACTTCGACTCGGCACGGAGAAGGAGACGGAGCCTCGTGACCTGTTCGAGCTTCCACCTTCCGTCCTGGAGGTGCCCGAGACTCTCTTGGACGAAGAGGAGCTCAAGTTGTACGAGGAGGACGGGACTGTGCCGGTTTACTTTGATCCTCAAGCGCTGTTTGCTTATCGTTTTGGTCTGCACCATGTCGCTTTTTGGGATGAGATGCATCGGAAATGTATCATTGGAACCAGCCACGCACAAGTCGATCGTGATTATCAGCTGCAGTTTCTACGCGATGCGGATGGCAACTTGGATCCGAATGGGACTTACGATCAAGCGTCCCCTGCTCACAAACTGAACGTCAAGTTTGAGAAGGAGGGTCGTTGGAGTTTCGGAATGGCAATGGTCGTCGACGACAATGGTGGCAAGGAAGGATACGTTTCGACCTTTCGATTTCACTACCCGTCCGTAGATTTTGTGGCTTCCGACAGTTGATATCACCTCGAAAGTCAAATGGTTGTCAACGATACGCGGCAAGATGATGGCAAAAGATGGAGGCAAGCGCCAAGAGATCAAGGGATGGCGTGAAGAATGTCGACAGGGCATTGAGGAAATTCCCGACGACACCGATTTTCGCAAGGAAAAGAATCCGTACCTGGCTCGTTACGGTGATGAAGATAGAGAGGCATTTACATCCAAGAAAAAGAAAAGGGATGAAAAGTCTCAAAGTACGTGTGTGTCACAACTTGCAAGCATATACGAACAAACCCAAGCCACTGCAATACAGGCTTTTAGCTCTTTATTCGCGACTCGATCCTAATTAGGGTTTGAGTTTCGATCATAGACTGAGTCTCTCGTGAGTAGTTATTGAGACAGGGTACTCAAATTGACGGCACTCTGTTCATACTAGGTTGATGATGAATCATGGCTCTAGATATTTAGCCAGCGTGGAGTACTTCCACGCTCATAGATCCTATGCTGGACGAGTCTTCCACGCGTTCCGTTCTTGGATCGTGGAGACACGTTAGGATTTATACCGCAACCTACTCTATCACATTTTATAGTCTCCCGCGGGAAGCCAGATCTACGATCCTGTGATGATCTCTCTCTGTGATTAGTTTTCATAGTTTTTTAATCTCTCTCATAACTTCATTCTCTCAAACTCAAAAACCTCGAAAGATCTTTACACTGCTTGTATCGTAGTGCATTTTGTTACAAAACACAATAGCGCTTTTCAGCTACCCTCAACTATTCCTTCAGCTGAAGATTGTTCAAGGAAAGCATGCGTTCCCCAACTGAGAAACAGATTGCCGTGACAAACCATTTCATTCCTCTCGTCGACAATGACGAGGAAAACGAGATCGACGATACTCGGTTGCAACCATTGCAAATTCGCAACCATGTTCCCAAGCGCAAATCAGAAGATTCTGAAAATGAGGACAACTCCTCTATCAATTTTCATCACTTGGATGGAGAAAACTCTATATGAGGATTAGGCCAGGATGATGGATCAACGGAACCATGTTCAAATTTCTCATACCAAAGTGATGAAGATAATCTCATAAACTAGTAAACAAGAATTGTTGCAACCGATGAACTCTACGGCAAATTGCATGATTGCCTTTAAGCTGCTCAACTAGACTTTGATGATCTATTTAGCATCGTTAAACTCGTCCGTGGCCAACCACCTCGTAAACGTCGCAAGACAAGAGACTCAAACCCATCGTCTATGTTAGATTCAAAAGCGAGAAAAGGGGAACCAAAACTTACACTCCGTTGCAGGTATGGGATACAAGGGATCCGGAACCTTGATTGCTAAACCTCATGCTAAGAAAATTACGCATGAAGGGATTTGGGCGTCCAAAACATGTGGACTACCCCTGCGGGAGAATTAAACACCAGCACGAAGTGCAAAGTGTCATTCATGATTCCTGAATTCCAAGATGATAGAATTATCGAAGTGGGATTTACACGTCACCCAGAGCTTGGGGCGTATGACATGATCATAGGTGAAGACACTCTCTCTGAACTTAGAATTCAAGTTCATTCACTACCATGTCAGTGGAGAGGGACGGCGCATCTATTCCTGTGAAAGACAGCGAACCAATGAAGGAGAATTCTTCATTCTGATTTATGCTGTTGATGACAGTGCAGATGGTCTCAAGAAGATTCTTGATGCGAAATACGAAAAAGATGACTTAAGGCAGGTTGCCAAAGTCAAGATCAGTTGCGGCATACATTGTGTAATGATTAATCTAACGATCTAGAGATGTAAAGTTTGTATTTCCATATAAGTGAGCAGTTATTGATTATTTTCTAGATTAGGCCCGCAATTTATAAACCTGTAAAGCTGAATTGTAAGTTGAATTATCCCGTCGCACTCGCTTACAGCTGAAATGAAGCTATAGCAAGAAACAATAAGAGAGAGTCACCAGCAACGTGCTGAGGTAGATTACAATCCCATGAGGAGCTTACGAATGACTGCAAACTGTGGAGCTGGAAGACCCTTAGTGAAGATGACGGCCCGTTGTTCTAGAGACGGAATGTACTTGGCCACAATGCCCTTCGACTACCCGATATTTGACCTAAAGAAGTAGTACTTCAATGACAAATACTTGTTGCGGGCTGGCATCTTGGGAACATTCACAAGAGGAACAGGCAACCTTGGTTGTCATCGAACACTGTAGAGCGCAACAGACTGTCAGTAATTACGGGCATTTGCAGTTTGTTACCAATTTCCTTGAGCAGGGCTCGCATAGGAAGCAGCTCCCTCATGGACATGTTGAAGGCAACATTATTCCAAGCAGCAGTGGAGCTCAGAGTAATGTCAGTATGCAGTTTGCTGGACCAAATGACAGGGCATCCAAACAAAGTCAAGACAAACCAGTGCGAGACTTGACGAACACAGTATCCTGATCATCCTAATATCCATACAATCCGGCGAAGTCAGCATCGACACAACATTCAAGTCCCTGATCAAGTTAGGGCTAAAACAAATGCCTTGTTCACTTGTGCCAATCAAATAACGAATGATACGTTTGATTGCTTGAGCATGGGAATGCCTTGGGTTGTGGCTGAATCGTGCTACCTGAGTTACACTAAAGGTGATGTCTGTGCGAGTGTTGGATGCAATGTAAAGCAGCATCCCAACTGCAGCTGGATAGCTCCACTCTTCTTAAAATGGGGCACCCAGTTTGTCAGCGACGAGCGGATCGGTGGCAGAAGGAGAAAGCTTAGAGCTGGCTTCGGACATGCCAGTGTATTCAATAACCTTGTTGTTGAGCCCCTTTTGAGTCAAATCCACATTGTCTCCCTGTCTTTCAAATTAATGCCGAGGAATAAAAAGATGTCACCTTTTTCATCCATAGTGAGGTCATATCCAAGTTTGGAGTGTCGAACATAGGAACTCAATCAGACATGCCGTGACTGAGACATATTTGGTCATCACAATAAATTAATACAATGAGTTGATGCTCCTTATGAATAAATAAACAGGGGTCTGCTTCTGAGGTTTCGAAACGAAGTTGGATCATCCCACGACATAGATGCTCAAAGAATAATTTGGGTGAATCGGTTTGCCCATAGATAGACTTGTAAAGTTTCAAAACACAGTCCTGTCTTTCATAATCTTTGGGTCGATAGTAATGAGGCAATTCAATGTACAATGGCTGATCGACAGGCTGAGGACTCTGACAGAAAGCAAGAGTAAATCAACTTGTCTCGATACCCATCCATGCGCAGCTGCAAGAAGAAGACCGGCTCTAAAAGTGGGCAAACCAACAAGTGGAGAGAACGCGACGCCTTCATAGGAATGAAGGTCACCTCTGCAGCACCATCTAAATTTGAACTTGTTCAATTGGCAATCTGGTAACCTCTTGATTCGTTGTACCATGTTCGGGAACTGCCTTGAGGTTGGAGGGCATTGAAGGACGTTGTACGATGTGCCAGATCCCTTTGCCTTCAAGGCTGGCAATTTCTTTGGTCATTTGCTGCCCAGGAGTGGTCTGCATGTGGTCCCATTAGAGATTCCTTCAGAGATTGGAGATCAGGGTCTCTGGAAGTTTTGGCCTTGAGAGCCAGTGGGCTTTGAAGAAGGCCATGATGGAACGATTCCTGGGTGTTGGTCAAGGGTGAATATCCAGTTACCAGAGCTTGCAGCATGTGCCCTGAAATTTGAGTGATTCCAAAAGTCAAAGCTAAAGCACAACTGAGCAGGGATGATGGGCGTGCATAAGTCTTCGGTTTTGGGTCCATGTTCAGAATCTCAGGCTTTTTGTTGTGAGCTGTCCTACTTGGATTCCGACGTGGGGCAGAGACAGGGATTGCATCGATGGGAACATCTGTGGTGGGAGTGCTGGCGATGGGAGGTTCCCTTGACCAAGACGAAGGCAATTGATGGGTCTGAAGCAATTGGCAGACGATTTGGAATCTTCCTGTGTGAAACCTGGGGTTGTGGTGGAGACGGAGCTTGAAAATGTAGATCAACCCTTTTGTCTTTGCTCTAGTCATCCTGCCATAACTTCCTCCCTTGTCGAAGCTTCTGAAGATGGGATCGGTGCTGTTTGATGGCCTTTTCTTCTGTAGTAAGCCACTCGTCTTGTAAGGGAGGTGGAGTGTCTTCATCAAAGAGGGTTTCGAAGCGTTGGAAATTGCACATGTTGGTCCATTCTGAGGTGTGTTTGATCTTCTGAAGAGTAATAAACTGTTTCAAACCAATCATCATTAGACAAGATGGTATTGAGGGGAAAGGTATCAGGTTGTAAGGTTGCGGATCAAACAAATATTTTATGAATGGACAGGTGAGGTGCCAACATATTGGCTTCTCCTGGACCTGGGCTGCCATTTTGGAATCTTTACTCCTTCAATGGTAAGCCGAGGTTCCAAAAAATAGGCAGGGCATCCCCATGAATGTGGCATTTCTGTATGACTTGCATCACTGACAGAATTCTGGGAAAATATCTCAATGGGAGCAATGCCAGTGGACTGAATTGGAGTGTGGTTGTAAAGTTGTGCTGCATGAGAGACTGCAAAGGCCAAAGGGATTCATATCAACTTCGGCCATAGAAATGCAGCATGGATATCATAGTTCTAGTTTGGTTACTAAAATTCTAATGGCTCCTCAGAAACCCATTCTCCATTTGGCACCGGTTGCGAGTATCTGATTGATTGATGGTGGTCCCTAATGCTAACGTTGGAATACTACTTGAATAGAGGATCTTGTAGAGTAGCTACCACCCAACGAGTCACTGCAACTATTCAAACGAGTTCAAGGTAAATGCCAAGTTCGCTTCTTAGTAAATATAATCTGTGTTGTGAATTTGATTGATGCGATCAGTAAAAGCTAGTTGTAGCGTGTGGATCAATACATCGTGGTAGTTGATACGGAAGTCAACGTGGTCTTTGCGGGAAACGGTTCGTTGGCAGGATGCTTTACTCCTGTCGAATACTCCAATTTACCGTGTCTTTTTGGTTTCGTTGAGAACTGTTCTTGCCAG